TCCTGATACTATCCTTTTTATCGCAGTTGGTTCTGTTGTGATGTCACCCAGTTCCTTTCTTATTCATGTTATTTGTTTTCTTTCCCTCTTTTCCTTTGTTTAATTTGCCAGTGGTTTGCCAATTTTATTAATCCTTTCAAAAAACTAACTTCTGGTCTTGTTGATTTTTTCTATTGTCTAATGTTTCATTTATTTCTGCTCAAATCTTTGTTATTTCTTTTCTTCTGGTGACTGTAGGCCTCCTTTTTTTTTTGCTGCTCTTTTTCTAATTGTTGGAGATTGTTGGGTTAACATGTTGATTTTGACTCTTTTCTTCTTTTTTGATGTGTGCATTTATTTCGGTAAATTCACTTTTGTTCACTGCTTTTGCTATGTCCTAAAGATTTTGGTATGTTGTGTTTTCATCCTCATTTGATTCAAGGAATTTTTTAATTTCTTTTTTTCTATTACCCAGTCATTTTTAAGGAGGATGTTACTCAATTTCCATGTGTTTGCTCTTTTTCTATTAATCTTCCTATTACTGATTTCTAATTTTATAGCATTGTGATCTGAGAAGATGTTTTGCAATATTTCAGTGTTTTTAAATTTATTAAGGCTTGCTTTATGGCCTAACAATGGTCTATCATGGAGAATATTCCATGTGCACTGGAAAAGAATGGATATTGTGCTGGGTGAAGTGCTCTGTAGATGTCTATAAGGTCAGGTTGGTGGATTGTATTGTTTAGGTCTTCTGTGTCTTTGTTGACTTTTTTTCCAATTATTCTATCTTTGATTAAAAGTGGTGTATTAAAGTCTCCTAAGGTGACTGTGGAGTCATCTATTTGCCTTTTCAATTCTGTTAAAGTCTGCTTTTGTATTTTGGGGCTTTTTCATTGGATGCATAGATATTTATTATTGTTATGTCCTCTTGTTCAATCAATCCTTTGAGCATTATATAATGTACTTCCTTGTCTCTTATGGTGGTTTTTGTCTTCAAGTCAATTTTCTCAGAAATTAATATTGCCACTCCTGCTCTTTTTTGATTGCCATTTGCTTGATAGATCTTTTTCCAGCCTTTGATTTTTAGTGTATTTTTAGAGAAAGGCAGCGTATTGGTGGGTTATATTTTCTTATCCAGTTCGCAACTCTCCGTCTCTTGAGTAGTGCATTTACTCCATTTACATTCAGTACAGTTATTGACAAGTATGAATTTGTAGCTGTCATTTTGTTACGTGTTTTTTTTTTGTTTTTTTTTTTTTGGTGGTGGTTCTGATTTCTTTGTTCCATATAATTTTCTGTGCTGAGCTCATTTTGTTTATGAATCATGCTATTTCCATTGTTGCTGTTGTTTTTTTGTTGTTGTTTTTATGTGCCGTCAAGTCAAACTGTTGTTTTAGTATTTGCTAAATATTTGTGCTTGCCTTCTTTTTCATTTGATGTGATAGTTTCTCATTTTTCTTTGAGGCTACCCTGTGATTTATAATTTTCTTCCCTAGTTTAGAATAGTCCATTCTATCTTGCAGTTCTCTTGACTTCCTCACCATTTAGTAGGACTGTAACTAGACTATTTTTTCCCTCTTTTTGTTTTATAGTTGTCCTCATTTGGCAATTGATGTCTCTGGTTCCCTGTTTACAGTCTTGTAAGCTTATTTTACTTTGAATACTTCCATAACTGGTTGGTTTCTGGTTTATGTCATCATGCATATTAATGGTTGGTTGTTTGCTGTTATTGGTTTTGCGTCCAAAGGACTCCCTTTAGCATCTCTTGTAAGGTGGTCTGGTTTTAACAAATTCCCTTAATTTATGCTTATCTGGAAATGTCTTAATTTTTCCATTGTATTTGAGAGACAATTATGGTGGGTATATAACTCTTGCTTGGAAATTTTTCTCTTTCAGGGTTTTATATATACCATCCCATTACCTTTTCACCTGCATGGTTTCTGCTGAGAAATCAGAGCTTAGTCTTATTGGTTGCCTTTTGTAGGTAACTTTTTGTATATCCCATGCTGCTTTCAGAATCCTTTCTTTGTCTGTGCTTTTAGTGAGTTTGATTTTGATATGTCTTGGTGATTTTCTTTTGGGGTCTGTCCTGTTTGGGGATCTCTGCAGCCACTCTCATTCTCTATCTTGATTATCCTATCAGGGAAATTCTCTTCCAGCAAATCTTCCCGTATTTTCTCTGTGCTGTTATTTGTCTCTTCCTGTTCTGGAATTCCAATTACACATTGGTTATTCCTTTTGATGGTATCCCACATGAATCTCAGGCTTTCTTCAATTTGTTTTTATCTTTTTTCTGATTGATCCCTTTCCAGAGAAGTATTGAGGTATTTGTCTTCAGTCCCACTAAATCTATCTTCTGTTGATTCGATTCTATTCCTTTTCCCACTCAATGTGTTGTCTATTTCTGAAAATTTAGTATAAACTTCTGCATTTCTATCTGTAGATTTTGTATCATTTCTAATTTTTCATTTATTTTGTCATTTTGTTCTTGTATTGTCTTCTGATATTGTTCTAAGGTGTTGTCGGTGTTTTCCTTAATTTTGTCATTGTTTTCCTTGATCTGGCTCTCAATCCGTTGAAGGTACCTAAATATAGTTCTTTTGAATTCCTTCTCAGGGCATCCCAATGCTGCTTCTTCCTCAGGGATGTGTTCTGGCTCTGTATCCTGGTCCCTTGTTTCTACTGCTTTATCTTCCTTCATGTGGACTGTGATGATCTGTTGTCTCTGAGACATTGTGTTGTTGTTATATTTATATTTCATTGGTGATTATATGTTGGAGTGATTTGCCCCAAATTTTCTTTTTGTTTTGGGATGTATCTGAGTGAGCAGAGTACTGTTCACCTCTGTTCACTACTTGGCAGCACTTATGCACTCACTACCTGTTTCCTGGTGGTTTGATAGAGAATGAGAGTGGCTGCAGAGAACTTTACTAACTGTTTGTGAAGAGCAGTTAAGGGTGAGTCTGGCTTGTACTTGCTGTTGTGTTTCATTGGCCAGTTGGTGCAGAAGCAAAGGGTGGTCCTCATTCAGTAGGTGGGTCTGCAGGTGGTGCAGGTATTGTTGGGTCATATGGTCATGGTTGCTGTCTCCCACTTACTTAGACAAAAACAATAATCAAAAAACCACCAAAAAAAGTAAAAGCGAGAGTACAAAAAACACACACTGAATAAACACACAGGAACAATCACCAAAAAGAGAAAGAAAAAAAAAGGGATGAAAGGCAATAAATGAGATGAAATATTGAAACACTTTTAAAAGGCAAAATAAATATGAATAGAAAGAGACAAAAAAAAAAAAAAAAAAAAGCCCAACATCTGGGGAGAGGGGAGTAAGAGAAAAGAGGAAGAGTAAGAGAATCATGAAGGAAAAAATGGAAAAAGAAAAACACGAGATGGGTAGAACCACAATGAAGAAAAAAATGGGATCCTGGATAGGGAGGAGAGAAGAAGCCAAAAACTAGAACATAGCAAGGGAAGAGTAATTATCAAAATAATAATAAGAAAAGAATAATTTTAAAACAAAAAGAAACAAAAACAAATCTCAGTGGGGTGGGGCAGGGCACCAAGGCTTGTCAGAGCACACAGACTGGGGTGGAATTCCTGCTGCCCAGAAGGTGGGTGGAGGTGTGGGATGGCTGCACCTCCATTCACCAAGAGGGTGTGGGGTGTAAGAGTAACAAAGGGAATATTGCACTTTTCCAGTGCTCAGCTTCTAGTATGTCTGTGCTATCCTTGGCAAGTGGAGCCTATTCTTAGGTCCCTGGAATTTTAGAGAACACCATCACTTTAAATATCCAAAATGGTCGAACCACTTGTAAACATTCAAAATGGTTGCACACTCCGGACAGCCAAAAGTCCACAGCTCAGTTTGTCTCCATCTTTGCTGTTTCCCTTTTTAGTCATCAGCCACCACTGTAGTCCTCTGCACAGCCCTTGGCCAGCAGGGCTGATTTTTAGGTTAATTATTAGGTCCTAACACCACTTGGAAATATCCAAACTGTCCATCCCGTCAGGATCACTGACAGTCTGCAGCTCCATTTGTCTCCTTATTCACTATTTTCATGCAGGTTCTTCTACTAGTTGGAGTTCAGTCCATTTCTGTATCCTTCCTGGATACAGCTCAGGGCTCCAGGGTTATCTTCTGTATCTGTTATCAATGGGTTTCTCTTTTCTTTATTGAAAAGGCTCTGTGTAGTTTGCCTGCCTATTCTGACTTCTTATTGGAATTGTCAGCATTCTCTTTAATTGTGTTCTGATGCTTCTGTTTCTAGTATTCTAGTTTCCCTGCCCCCTTATTCTCTTATCTTTTCTTTAGAGTAACTGTTGACCTTTTGATTCATATAGTTAGTTTTTTAATGAAACACCATACTCACGGATAATATCCTTTATTCTGTGTGCCATTCTGTTTTGCTAAAAGGTGACCTCGGAATGGTTTGGTTCAAGATTAAAGAGTATCTCAGGGCAGTAGTCTGAGGGCATCCTCTAGTCTCAGCTGGCCCAGTAAGTCTGGGATTTTTAATAATTTGAGTTCTGACAAGTAAATTTTTAAAGCTTATTTGTACTACTGTTGTTGTTGTTGTTATTTGCCATAGAGTTGGACCTGACTCATAGTGACCCCTCCTTGGGTTTCTGAGGCAGTATCACTACAAGAGTAGATTGCCCAACCTTCCTTTTGAGGAGTGGCTGGTGGGTTTGAACTGCCAGCCTTCTGGTTAGCAGTCAAGTGCCTTAGGCACTATGCCACCAGAGCTCCCATTTGTACTACTATAAAATGTTACTAACTTTTGATGGAGGATAAAGGATTCAGACTAACAGGATTATCAGACTATATTCCCAGTCTTTGTAGCACTTTACAGTTCCTTAACACCCACTCTTAAAGCTTTGGCTGCCTGTGTGTTTACACTCAGGTCAGAGAGGCATTCTTGTACTAGTCCCTAACCAGGTTTATTCAGACTGTTCATATTAGTAAATATCATTCTTACCTTTTAAAATGTTCTTTTTTTTTTTTCCTCTTCCAATAGGTACAAAGGTCTGGCATCTCACAGCTTGTAAGTATTTTAGACTAGTTTGTAACATGTGAGACATCTTTTAAAATTGTTAGGAAAATGAATAGTTTGATCATGGAAATCGAGTGCATTCATTCCATACCTTACCGTAGAACTGTTTCCCTACAGCCTAGTAATAGAGAAGGAGACATTTCTAGAGTCGTACCCAGAACTGTCTACACCAGGAACAAAGATTCGACTGTCAGTCACACTTTGACTTGCGCCAAAATACTACCTACCAACTATGTTTCAAAGGTTTGAAGAGCCCCAAATTTTCCTAACTATGCATAACAAATTAAGTTATAGTAGCTGTTATACGTGACCTATATCCCTAATATAAACCCCAAGTGGCCATTTCACACTCATGTGCTGTTCCTTGGTGAGATCTCATAGTCAACCATGTGTAAAATGTTAGCACCTTTAGAGTGTATCTTCTTAGCTTCCCCCAGCTTGGCTACTTTACTTCAGGCAAGATAATAGAATACTGCTTTTAGACCCTAAACATATGTGGCCTTTACCCAGTGAGTTTTACTTGCTCTGTGCCCATTCATATCATCATCTAAAACACATTGACTGAGTTTTTGCTTTGTGCTAGGCAGATGCTGGCTGCTAGGGATACATCTGAGGTCAAGTCAGATTTTGTCCTCTTGTAGAGTTTACAGTGTAACAGCCCTTAAACTCCCTGTGCCCTTTGGACAGTTATCCCATGAGATCCCTTTCTGCAGGCTTCCCAGTCCTGATGACTATGTTTCTTTTCAGACTCTGCCATTTGCCGCAAGACTCAACTCTTCAATGGGCCCAGAACGGACTGTTGTCATTAAAGGAGAAGTGAATACAAATGCCAAAGGGTTAGTACCATTCAGTTACCAGTAGTAGTGCTGATACTTTCCTTGTGTATCACTCATCTCCTTATATTCCTGTAACACTGTTGTGTGACATAAGTAGGGCTATGTGTCATTGTCCTCCTTTGAAAGGTAAGTTTTAAAGCAAATGGAGGTTAGACTGTTAGTAAGTTGTTGGCAAAGCCAGGACTAAATTGTGGTGTTCTGACCTAGGCTTTTTCTGGCCAGATGAGAAGGTAGCAGTACCCTTCCCACCTCTCTACAGGACCTTGCCCTTGCCTTAATTGAACTACAGGCAGCTCCATAAGATAAGGGATCTTTTGTTACGCCTCTTTTTATTATGTAACTTATAAAATTTTTGCTGTAGTTATTTTCCCAGAGGAGCCCAGGTTTCTGAAAGCGTGAAATTGAACTATTTCCTAGAATGAATTGCAGACTTTCAAGAAGAACATACATAACAAGAACATGAAAAGAGAACACCTGCTTCAAAGGAGACCTGATTTCTGCAGTCTGAATTAATTGTTCCATTTTTTAGCTTTAAGTCTTTTGATTACAAAGTTTTTACGTTTTTATTTTGCAAATAACATACTTATCTCAATGGGAGGCTAACTCAAAAGTTTAAAATTTCACTTCTGTCTTCATTCCGGTGTCCATACATGTGTTTCATGGCTATTGTCATAGTTCAGTTCTAATTTTTAAAATTTCAGAAACTGCCACTACCCTCTCCTATTTGGCTAATTAAGCTCCTTTTCTTTTATTTTCTCAAAAGCTTTAATGTTGATCTGGTAGCAGGAAAATCAAGAGATATTGCTCTACATTTGAACCCACGCCTGAATGTTAAAGCATTTGTAAGAAACTCTTTTCTTCGGGAGTCCTGGGGAGAAGAAGAGAGAAATATTACCTGTTTCCCATTTAGTCCTGGAATGTACTTTGAGGTGAGATTAAAAAAAGAGAGAGAAAAGCAATTCTGGGAGCAGGGGATAGGATGTTGTTGTTGTTAAGTGCCGTCGAGTTGTTTCCGACTCATAGCGACCCCGTGCACAGCAGAACGAAACACTGCCCGATCCCGCGCCAACCCCACAATCCCTGCTATACTTGATCCCATCATCGCAGCCACCATATCAATCCATCTCGTTGAAGGCCTCCCCCTCTTCCGTTGACCCTCCACCCTACCAAGCATGACATCCTTCTCCAGGGAATGGTCCCTTCTTACAACATGACCAAAATAGGTGAGATGAAGTCTGGCCATTCTTGCTTCCAAGGAGCATTCTGGCTGCACTTCCTCCAGGACAGATCTGTTAGTTCTTTTAGCAGTCCATGGTACTTTCAGCATTCTCCGCCAGCACCACAACTCAAAAGCGTCAACTCTTCTTCGGTCTTCCTTATTCATTGTCCAGCTCTCACATGCATACCAGGCGATTGGAAATATCATGGCTTGTGTCAGGCGCACCTTAGTCCTCAATGAGATATCCTTGCTCCTCAGCACTTGAAACAGTTCCTTTGCAGTTGACTTTCCCAGTGCTACATGTTGTCTAATGTCCTGAGTGCTGCTTCCATTGGCATCAATTGTAGAACCAAGCAACGTGAATTCTTTGACAACCTCAATCTTCTCTCCATTTATTGTGATGCTGCTCATTGGTCCAGTTGTGAGGATTTTTGTTTTCTTTATGTTGAGATGTAATCCATACTGCAGACTGTATTCTTCAACCTTCATCACTAGGTGCCTTAAGTCATCCTCACTTCAGCGAGCAAAGTTGTATCATCTGCATATCTCAGGTTGTTAATGATTCTTCCTCCAATCCTGATACCACGTTGTTCTTCATACAGTCCAGCTTCTCGGATTATTTGCTCAGCATGTAGATTGAATAAGTGTGGAGACAGAATACAACCCTGACGCACTCCCTTCTTGATTTTAAACCATGTAGTGTCCCCTTGTTCTGTTCGAACGACAGCCTCCTGGTCAAGGTACAGATTCCTCATGAGTACAATCAAGTGCTCAGGAATTCCCATTCTTCTCAATGTTGTCCATAATTTGTCATGATCCACACAATCAAATGCCTTTGCATAGTCAATAAAATACAAGTAAACATCTTTCTGGTATTCCCTGCCTTGAGCCAAGATCCATCTGACAACAGCTGTGATATCCCTTGTTCCATGTCCTCTTCTGAATCCGGCTTGAACCTCTGGAAGTTCTCTATCAATATACTGCTGCAAATGTTTCTGAATTATCTTCAGTAAGATCTTACTTGCATGTGATATTAATGATATTGTTCTATAATTTCTACATTCTGTGGGATCACCTTTCTTTGGAATGGGCACAAATATGGATCTCTTCCAGTCAGTTGGCCAGGTAGCTGTCCTCCAAATCTCTTGGCATAACTGAGTGAGTGCCTCCAATGGGGCATCTGTTTGTTGAAATATCTCAATTGCTATGCCATCAATTCCCGGAGCCTTGTTCTTCGCCAGTTCTTTCATTGCAGCTTTGACTTCTTCCTTCATTACCATTGGTTCTAGATCATATGCCATTTCCTGAAATGGATGAAGATTGATCAGTTCTTTTTGGTACAGTGACTCTGTGTATTCCTGCCATCTTCTCTTGATGTTTCCTGCATCATTCAATATTTTGCCCATAGAATCTCTCAATATTGCAACTCGAGGCTTCAATTTTTTCTTCAGTTCTTTCAGTTTGAGAAATGCTGAGCGTGTTCTTCCTTTTTGGTTTTCAGACTCCAGGTCTTTGCATATTTCATTATAGTAATTGGCTTTGTCTACTCGAGCTGCTCTTTGAAATCTTCTGTTCAGCTCTTTTACCTTTTCATTTCTTCCATTTGCTTTAGCGATTCTCTGCTCAAGGGCAAGGTTCGGAGTCTCCTCTGTCAACCACTTTGGTCTTCTCTTCTTTTCTTGTCTTTTTAGTGATCTCTTGCTTTCTTCATGGATAATGTTCTTGATATCTTCCCATAATTCATCTGGCTTTCGGTCATTGGTGTTCAATGCATCAAATCTATTCTTTAGATGATCTCTAAATTCAGGAGGGATATATTCAAGATCATACTTTGGCTCTCTTGGACTTGTTTTCATTGTCTTTAATTTCAAATTGAATTTGCCTATGAGAAGTTGATGGTCTGTTCCACAATCAGCTCCTGGCCTGGTTTTGGCTGAAGATATTGAGCTTTTCCACCACCTCTTGCCACAGATGTAGTCAATCTGATTCCTGTGTGTTCCATCTGGTGGGGATAGGATAAGTAGTCCATTTAAATTAATATGTGGAGATTGTGGGTTTGTTTGGACATTTTGAATACTTCCATTTGTAACATAGAGAATGGGTAAAAATGGCCAACTCTACTAGTAGAGTACCACATCATTTGCATTAGAATTGACATTTCTTATCATAGTGCAGATTACTGTGTAGCCTAACATCAGTTAATTAGCATTTAAAGAGGAACCTGTCTCAGGACTGGAATAATACGTTTAATCCTAAGTGAGCATGAGGTCATAGAAACCATAAATCTACCTTCACTATCTATCCATCAGCTCCCATCTTGGTTGTACAGTGTTAGGTAGTCAGTCTTTCTCCTAACGAGTTTATACATAAAAACCAAAAGCACAAAACAAAACCCAGTGCTTTCGACTCAATTCTGAGTCACGGTGACCCAATAGCGAGCAATTCTATAGGACAGAGTAGAACTGCCACATAGGGTTTCCAGGGCTGTGTTCTTTATGAAGCAGACTGCCACATCTTTCTCCCATGGAGTGGCTGAGGGGTTTGAACTGCCAGCCTTTCAGTTGCTTAACCACTGCGCCAGTAGGGCTCCTGAGTTTGTACATAACTCCCCAAAACCCACTGCCATTGAGTTGATTTCAACTCATTGGCTTTCCAAGGTTGTAAATCTTTACAAAAGTAGATTGCCTCATCTTCCTTGCATGGAAAAGCTGGTTGGTTTGAACCTCTGACTTTTGGTTAGCAGTCACTTGTCTTATCCACTACATCAGCAATGCTCCTTGAGTTTGTATATAGTCAAGAAGAATACATTTAGATCTTTGGAACTAAAATCCCTGAGTTTCCAATTATATGACTATCATGGTAACACATACTTCTCCCAAAGTGTTTCTGGGATGCTGAGCAGGAAATACAGTCTCCTTCAGATGAGTGTTCTGGCTGGTTGGCTAGGTTCACTTACTGGCCTAGGTGACTCACTGCCTCACATGGTCACTTAGAATCATTGATAAAAGTCATGCTTTCACATTTTAAACTGTCACATGCTCTGGACATTTGAGTTCTTGAGACTCATCAAAATTGTCAAAAGCATGAATAGTTCTTAAAAGGCTGAATGGAAGATAGTGAAATGTGGTTTGGTCTGTTTGACATTAATCCACTTCAATGCAGTGTTTAGTATGTGGAGTAATAGATGAGAGCAGATCATAGAAAGGCTGATCATGGAAGGATCCCTGGAAATTGTAGATACTAATTTGGCATTCAGAAGGCTGGGAAGGATCTGGGAGGTTCAAGAAAATTGGATTTTCTGGACGTAGGGGATGATTTGAACAAGTCACTGGAGGTGGGAAGGGCCTCACAAAGACTTACTGAGTTGGCAGATATCATAGTGTAAACGAGCTACTTGGAAGATAGAGACAACAGTGCTGTAGAAGGAAGTTGTTCTCTGTGGTTGGGTGACAGGAAGCTAGTGTTGTCACTTGTTTTTCTGACCTGTTTTTGCCTCAAGTTTTGATCTTCTATATTAAAATGAAAAAGGAATTCATATTCCTAACCCCGAGAATAGACCAGTTATTATCTTAACATATTTGCTTCTGCTTTTTTACACAAGTCCCTTATTGTTTTAGGAAAAAAAAAAAAAAAAAATGTGCCCATTATAAGGACTTAAACTAATGCAGAAAAATATCAAGATGAAAAATTTAAAAATTTATCCCCAATCTATTAATTCGGGTAATACTAGTAAGTTTAGGTTAACCACATTCCAGAAATCTTTCTGTAGGTAAATACAGTCACAAGACTGGCTAGCTGGAGAGATGAATAGATACGTTATATGTATCTTTAAATATATCTTCTTTGTTCCATTTGCTAGTTTTCTACTTTGGGAACAGTAATTATGGATCATTACAGTCAATTTTCCATAGATTCCTTCCGTTTATTTCAAAGTTTTGCCTTTTAAACATGCTTTTGTTGAGATTCATTCAGATCTTTCCACTATGCCATCAATATGATATTAAAGTATCTCTACTCCTTGTTTAAAATTCATCTGTTGTTGTTGTTGTTGTTGTGTCGTCGAATCACACCCTACTCATAGCGACCCCTCCTTGGGTTTCCGAGGCGGTATCACTATGGAAGTAGATTGTCCCATCTTCCTTCCGAGGAGTGGCTGGTGGGTTTGAACCGGCAGCCTTCTGGTTAGCAGTCAAGTGCTTTAGGCACTATGCTACCAGACTTCCTAAAAAATTCATCTAGTCTTTTTAAAAAATATCATTCAGAATTGTAATTTCACTTTTATCAAATTCATGTTTTCATTACTATCAGATGGTTGAGAGTGATTTTATCACCTGGGCTGGGGTCTGTCTGTGGCATGTTCTGTACCCTTTTTCTTTCTGTCTGTCCTTTTGTTTTGCATGCTATTTTGAATTTTTTTTAAATTGTGACTTAGGTGAAAGGTTACAGAGCAAATTCATTTTCCATATAACAGCTCACACATATTTTGTTTCATCACAGTGATTTTAATCCCCATAGTGTAATAGCTCTCTTCCCACTTTCCTCCCTGTGGTTTCCTTCTTTCTCCTTTCCTATGCATTCTTGCCCTCTGAGCTGTTTCCCTGTGCAAATACAGCCCTTTTGATCTTCCATGGATGCTTGTTCCAAAGAGTGTACCTGCTTGGTGTAAATGCTCACCTTATATGCCTTGCTGTTGTATGGCTGGAAGCCATGAAAGTGAGTTCAATTCTAGGCCCAAACAGTGACCCAGGGTCATAGTCTCAGGGGTTTTACCAATCTCTATCAGACTTGTAAGCCTGGTCTTTATCATTTTGAGTTTTGTTCCACATTTTCCTCCCATTCTATCCAGGATCTCCTTGCACAAATCCCTTTCCGAGTGGTTGACAGTGGTAGCCAGCCACCATCTACTTCTGGTCTTGGTCATGTAGGCATGGTCCACTAGTCCCTTGGACTAATTGTTTCTGGGTGTCTTTGGTTTTCTTTGTTCCAGATGAGGAGAGACCAGTTGTTGCATCTTAGATGGCCACTTACAAACTTTTAACACCCCAGTTGCTACTCACCAATGTAGGATGTAGAACAATGTTTTTGTGTAGTATGTTATGCCAACTGAGCTTGATGTCTCCTACAACCATGGTTCTGAGCCCACAGGCCCAACAACTCTCCCCCTTAGGGACTTTGGCTGTGGCTAAAAAGTTACCATAACTTTCCCCGTTAGCTCTATTATATATATGGACATTCCTATAGCACATACAAATACGTATGTAGAAATATCATCTGCCAAATTTATATATGGTCATGGGCGTATTCCGTTTTGCTCAGACATATCTGTTCAGCCTGCCTACCTATGTATCCACTCCAGATTGATGTTTGTTATTACTGGTAGGTAATGCAGTATTGTGTATGTGAAAAGTGTTTTATCTTTGTTGTCTGTGCCTCTTGTGCACCTGTCTTCCTTTTCCTTAGTGTTATTTTGTTGGTTGCTCACTTTTGGTATATTCCCTTCTTTTACCCAAATCAATATTTGTCTCTTACCGATCTAGTAATTTTACCTCCTCTCCCCTTCCTGGTAATTAACAATTTCCTTCCATATGTAAACCTTTCCTTGACTTTACAATAGTAGATGGTATTTGTCCTTCTGTGATGGACTTACTTCACTCAGCATAACATCTTCCAAGTTCATCCACATGATGAGGTGTTTTGCAGATTCTACATTATGCTTTAGTGTTGCATAGTATTCCACTGTACGTACCATGGTTTGGTTATCAGTTCTTCCATTGAACGGGCATTTAGGTTGTTTCCATCTCTTTGCAAGCAAATAGTGCTGCAGTGAACATGGGTATGCATATAATCTATTTGTGTCCTGGCTCTTACTTCAGGATATATACCTAGTAATGGGATTGCTAGGAGCTCTGGTGGCATAGTGCCTAAGGCATCTGACTGCTAACCAGAAGTCTGGAAGTTCAAATCCACCAGCCACTCCTCAGAGGAAAGATTGGGCAATCTACTTGTGTAGTGATACCACCTCAGAAACCCAAGGAGGGGTCACTATAAGTCAGATCTGACTCAACGGCAGTGAGTTTAGTTTTTGGTTAATGGAATTGCTAGATCAGATGGTATTTCTATTTCCTACTTTTTAAGGAATCACCATACTGTTTTCCAGTGAGTGGTTGTACCATTTTACAGTCCTACCAGCAGTGTATGAGTCTAAGTCTCTCCACATCCTAGCCAGCATTTGTTATTTTCTATCTTGTTGAATTTTCCATTAGTGCTGGTATGAGATGGTATCTCATTGTTTTGATTTGCCACTCTCTAATGTGCATGCCATTTCTTTTGCTTCAATTTCATTGGCTCTGCTTACTTTGATATTATATAGGTAGCTATTTGACTCCTTTTCCACTGTCTCCATTTGATGCCAATTTTTTTCCCCTTCTGAGCCATAGTATGAAGCAAGGTGTTAAGTGTTCCCCTTAGATTTTTTTAAATGCACATTGTCAAGTCTCTTCCACCTAGATGAACCTGGGACTTCTTCCATTCTTGTGGGGTACCATGTCAGGTTATAGAGACACCAGTTCTCTGTGTAGCCCTAGAGCCTTCATTTCTGCCAGTTAGCTCTATTACAGAATTCCACTTCTTCTTCATTTCTCCCTGCATCCATTTCCATTACCCCTATCAAAAGAACACTCAATTTGCTTCTTTCCATATTGAGATTTTGTGCCTCTGTGTGACCTCTGGGGATGGGGCCAGTTTAGCAGCTAGGCTGTGCTGTCCCTCTCTGCTTTCTTTCAAAGTCTTGCTTGGGAGGGCTGTAGGTAGAAATACACTGGCTTTTTCAGTACAGGTGGTAAACTAATGGTAGAATCAGTAGCCTGATCATGGCATGGGGAGCATGGTATCAGAAGTATGATGTTCATGAGGAGGATGACTTAAAAGGATAGGGTTGTTTTTTAAAAAAAAACCCTGAGTTTTAGGCAGACAACTCTGAAGGACTAATAACCTTCTGAAGTGGATCTGCCAGAATACTAATTACTACTTAGACTGAATACTGAGTTTTTGAAGAGCTATTGAGAAACAGACTGATGCCACGATGTGCCATACTGGCAGGTGATCAGGATCACCATGCAGTGGTACAATCCCAAATAAGGCCCTCAACTTCTGAAGTTCCATATTCATTGTGATTTGACCAAGACTCTAGAGATAGTTTGAGGCAGATAAAATTGGAACCCAAGTCCCTTGGTTCCAAACCTATTAATTGGAATAAGCTCTTCAGTAAATGAGGAACCAAAAAACCAAAAATCAGTTTTTCTACTTCATTACTGTTCCCAAACATTGGTGAGGAGCAGTGTTCCATTTCCCCAGGAGCAAGGGTCAGGAGAGGGCTGTGCTGAGGGCAGGAAGGCCAGCAAGGCCCTGGGATAGAGTAGGGTTCCAGGCATGTAACAAAGCAACTTCCCATAGGTGCCAGTACCAGTATACTTAACACTACATAGGGTGTCATAGAAATTGGAGAAGGGAAATAAGCTGCAACAGGCTGGGAGAACTTCTCTGTGCAAAGCAAACTATATGGTTTAATTCTTGACATACTGTTAGTGTACAGCAAACAAAAATTTTAAACCAAGGGAAACCACTAATGATGTTTACTTTCCTTTCAGATGATAATTTATTGTGATGTTAAAGAATTCAAAGTTGCGATAAATGGTGTACACAGCCTGGAGTACAAGCATAGATTTAAAGAGCTTAGCAACATTGACACGCTGGAAATCGATGGTGATATCAACTTATTGGAAGTAAGAAGCTGGTAGTTGACATGACTGCTATAAAAACAGAAATACAAAATGGCTTACGTAATACTGGTCTGGTTTAAAACTCATCTCACTGTCATTATATTGTTTATATTGTTAAAATGAGCTTGCATAGTATTAACTCTACTGATCTCAGTCCTTGGGCACAGAATAAGGAAATCTGGGGCAACAGCAACTTAAAGCTTAAATATCTTCCATTAAGGCCACTCTGCTCATGCTCCCACTGTTGCTCTCTTTATTAACTGCACTTCACATTCAGCAAGTATTAAGTGCCTTTGTAACACAGTAGCTAATATCCATTTAGCACCTCATGTTTTGTCAACACTGTGCTAGAAGCCGGGGATATGTACACAATGGTGGACAAGATCAGCTCCCTTTTGCTTGAGTTTAGAATCTGTGCTCTTCACTGGGTCACCGTTCTTTGTATAGGCATTGCTTTAAGCTTACCAGGGCCACCAGGGTTAAAAGAGTTACTTGGTTATCAACTAACCTAAAGACACTCATTTATAGAAGACTATTTTTTCACCAGTGATTGCTTTCGTACTATTGTTCTATCATGTCCTGTAACTGAAAGAGTTGATGTTAACTTACATTGGGTAGTACTATCTGAAAACTTTACCAACAAATTAACATAAAATCTCAAAACAGTACAAAGATTAAGGAAAAAGCAATACAAAACAAAAACACATGAATGTTGACATTTAACTTGATGTCAAACTCAAGGCAGCTGATCTCAGTACATACCCCTGAAATACGTCAATGTGTATTTCAGTGATTGAACTTAATAAGTCAAAGGCCTGCACATCCTCATACAGAAAGTTTAAGATAAAGGCAGTATGAATTCAACTTTTAAAACATTTATGGGTTAACAAAAGCAGCGTGGATATTAGACTTACTACTAAAAACAAATAGGTACTATCAGAAAGTAAGATACACCAGTTGAAAAAAAATAAAATACTTGGGAATAAATCTTACCAGAGACACAAAAGACCTCTACAAAGAAAACTATAAAAAGCTACTTCAAGAAACCATAAAAGACCTAAATAAATGGAAAAACATCCCATGCTCATGGATAGGAAGACTGAACATTATGAAAATGTCAGTTCTACCCAAAGCAATCTATACATTCAATGCAATCCCAATCCAGATCCCATCAACATTCTTTAGGGATATGGAAAAAATGATCACTAACTTTATATGGAAAGGAAAGAGACCTCGGATAAGCAAAGCACTACTGAAGAAGAAAAACAAAGTAGGAGGTCTCACATTGCCGGATCTCAAAACCTACTATACAGCCACAGTAGTCAAAACTGCCTGGTATTGGTTCAATGACAGATACATAGACCAATGAAATAGAATTGAGAACCCAGGTATAGATCCATCAACCTATAGTCAGCTGATCTTTGTCAAAGGCCCCAAATCCATTAAGTGGGGAAGAGAATGTTTGTTTAATAAATGGTGCTGGCAAAACTGGAGATCCATTTGCAGAAAAATGAAACAAGATCTGTACCTCACACCACACACAAAAACAAACTCCAGATGGATCAAAGACTTAAATGTGAAACCTAGAACTATACAGTTTCTCAAGGAAAATTTAGGCTCAAACTTAAGGGCCCTAATACTTGGTATAAATAGACTACCAAGCATAATTCAAAATGCACCAACAGCAGAAGAGAAGCCAGATGATTGGGACCTTCTAAAAATTAAATGTTTATGTGCTTCCAAAGACTTCTCCAAAAGAGTCAAAAGAGAACCTACAGATTGGGAAAAAATATTTGGTAATAACATATCTGACAAGGGACTTATCTCTAGAATTTATAGAACACTCCAACACCTCAATAACAAAAAGACAAACAATCCAATTAAAAAATGGGCAGAAGACATGAATAGACACTTCACCCAGGAGGATATTCAAGCGGCCAACAAACATATGAAGAAATGCTCACGATCATTAGCTATTAGAGGGATGCAAATCAAAACAACAATGAGATACCCTCTTGCTCCAGCACTAGTATCAAAGTTCAATAAGACAGAAAATAACAAATGCTGGCGAGGTTGTGGAGAGATTGGGACTCTCATACACTGCTGGTGGGACTGTAAAATGGTACAACCATTGTGGAAAGCAGTATGGCGATTCCTTCAAAAGTTGGAAATACAAATACCTTTTGACCCAGCCATCCCATTACTAGGTATATACCCTAAAGAAGTGAGAGCCATAACAAGAACAGATATATGCACGCCGATGTTCATCGCAGCACTATTTACAATAGCCAAAACTTGGAAACAACCTAGATGTCCAACAACTGAGGAATGGATAACCAAACTTTGGTACATTCACACAATGGAATACTATGCAACGCTAAAGAATAATGTAGAATCTGCAAAACACCGCATAACGTGGATGAACTTGGAGGACATTATGCTGAGCGAAATAAGTCAGTCACAAAAGGACAAATATTGTATTAGTCCGTTATTGTGAAAGTTAAGGAAAGGTTTATCTATTGGAGGACATTTTCTTTGTTGGTTACCAGGGGTTGGAGGGGAGGGGAGGGAATGCTGTTAGATAGATAGAGATAAATATTGATTTGGGTGAAGAGAAGGGCAATGTACCAAATGTGAGTGACCAATATGGCAGTATTGAGGATGAGAAAGACAGAGAGAGTTACATGGGCAGTACAAACAACAAATATGAACCCCTTTGTAAATACAATACTGAGTTGTCAATGAAAGCAAACATGGGTATAGGGACGGATAGATGGGTGAACAAGCTAAACAATTATGTATGTCTAAATGGAGAGTGTATCCAAGATCATATACAGGGTTGGCAGACAATGGGCCTCTCGAAGAGTATGAAGGGATGGACACTGGGAGGAGGTAACTATGGGGAGGAAGTGGGAGGGGAGCTGCTGCATTATAAATTTTGGTCAATGACATGAGACAAAGTATATGTGAACTGCTGTATGAAAAGTGAATTTACTCTGTAAATCTTCACCCAAATCCTAAAAAAAAAAAAAAAAAAAAAAAAGATACACCAGTTGAAAGACCAGTGAAGTAGGGAGAAAAAAAGTAATGTAAGTCTGTTGCTTGTCTGCATTCAAATCAACACTTGCCTCTTTGTTGTTTTAAAAATTAGTCCATCATCATTAGCAATTGAGATCAAAACACTTTTACTCTGAATGATTAAATCAAACCTGTATCAGCAAGTTAAACTGTTGCATTTCTGCAATATTTCTATTCTTTGAAGTCAGTTGGCAGAAATTCTGTGTAGAACCCTTACAAGTCAGATCTTGCTACATGAAATTTCAAGAGTTTAGAAGTAGCAAAGGGGGAGAGCTACTTCAGTCAGGTCATTTTATCATATTACATTATTGGGCTGATTCTGCCACATTTATGAATATATTCTTAAGAGACTTTAGTTAAGTATTATTTGCATCTCTATAATGAAAAGAATACTATTAATAAGTCTCTTACTTGTAAAAAGTACTCAGTGTAGAAACTGCTAGCCTTCAGTAATTTCCTAACAAACATGTTGAATTAATCATGCAGAAAGTCTTGACAAGCTTAAAATGACACTGTAGGGATGGGGGTGTGCAGGGAAACTTGTAGAAGGCAAGAAGGCTCTAGAATCCCCATGGATGCTTTTTCCTTCATAAAGAACATCAGCACAACATGACAAATGCTGGAGACTCTAGGCCATTAAGGGGAAGAAAAAAAAAAAAAAAGCCCATCTGCACTGTTTCTGTAAATCTTACAGTTCATTTTCTGTTCTACACTCTGGTATTACTTACTTTTTGATGGAATAAACACCAAATCTTGTGGTTTTTTTTTTTTTCTTTTAAAGAAGGAAGCTATTATTTAATTGAGACATTTTTTAAAGACAGGCATTCCTAGCAAGCTATTATTGAAACTGTAAGTTGGCCTTTTGCTGCTCTGTCACAATTCTGCATTAAATTTCTGTAGTAAATCACATCAAAGGCTTTCAAACTCAATGTAAACATTCTATAGGGCAGTTCTTAAATTCCTTAAAAAATAAAGGCAAATTTAATGTTATTTGAATTCTCACCTCCAAGCTTCACCATGACACACACAGTACTAGAGATTACAGAACTTCAAAAGCATTAAAAATTACTGAAATTAATTTTCTTTCTTAAATAAATAATTATCTTAGACTGTTATGGAAATAGAGTAATTCTTAATCCTGGAGGGATGCCTTCATGCAACCTAGTGTTTCTGGGCCCCTTTTTTGTGTGTATGATCAGCCAAGTGTGGGCTGTTTGTTTATCAGTAGCACAGGATACAACATAGTCCTGAGTGAAAGGTGTATTCCCTGACTACTTCCCTCTTAAGGTACACAAAATAATAGGCTGAAGTATCAACTCGACGGCACATAACAACAACAATAACAATATCATCATCTGCTAAATATGCAAAATCCCAAATTACTTACAGATAGAAGGTATTTTGGTTAAGGGCTGAGTAACTGTCATGTTCTTGAAGTAGAAAGATACTCTGTATGAAATTGCTGACATGGATACCATGTACACACACATTTCCTTGACAGAAAAGTTAAGGGTTTCCTGTCTAAATGAGGTTCCATTAACTCTAGATGATCATACATGCCTGCAATATTAGTAACTTTATTCAGAAAAGCCTATGTAAGATAAATGTATAAACAAACAAACACAGCAGTCTGTATAAAAACACCATGTACCATTTACTCTTTTTGCAAATACATAAAACTGGAAGGAGAAGTTTATGTAGTAGCACAAACAAGATGAGAATATTATAAAGAAGTGAGTAAGTATCTTTAGTCCAAGTAGGTGTTAAGGCACCAACAGAAACATAGCACCTAAATCCAAAAACAAAAAAATGTGAAATCTAAAAAAAAGTATGAAACACTGAAAAACAAAGTTCTAGAAGTAGCTCTGGAGTGGTTCTCCCAGTATAACTTCTAGTTGCTTAATAGTCTTTTGGCACTGATGTTCTACTTCTTCACATTC